ATATATTGGCCCTTACTATAAATGTGAATTGTGCCTTTAAATGATTAAGAGCTTCGAAGAGATCGCTAAAAATGAACATGTTGCTTAAAATTAGGAAGATTCGAATGCAAAATAAAAAATATCAAAATTGCACAAATACAGATAAAATTTATTTCATTTCCTAAAAACATCAGTTTTAATTACATTACTTTTGAAAACTCATATTTACTTGTTTTATATTCAAAGAATTGGATATATATATATATATATATATATATATATATATATTTTATATATATGTCAAAGTTAGAAGTGCAACTTATTTGTGAGGTGACTTCTCAGTTAACTTATTTGATAATTCCAATGTGGATGAGCCTAAAAAATCCATTTTTCACCATGTGCCCGCTTGTCCTCTGTTATAGAATCAAAGCATCTGATTATCAATTACAATAATAATAATAATAACAACAAAAACATTCCTCTTGTAAACAGATGTTCATCACTGGACAGATTATCACTTTAACAAAATGAATTCTTTGGTATGTTGAGCGTTATCTTTGTTTTCAACTTTATTTTCATAGAACAATGTGTGCTCCCCCTAGTGGCCAGATGATACTTTTAGTGTCTTAGATCAAGCTAATCATGTTACAATTTGTTTGCCAAAGGAGCCTTTTATTTATTTATGTTTCGCAAGTTTTAGGTTCCAATTCAATTCTTTTTAAAAAACCAATTTCCTTCAATTTATTCAAATATCCTGCCCAATTTTTATCCAAGAGATTTGTTGTTAAATCAAAGCCACCTAGTTAAATTTTTTCTTTTGTTTTGTTGTTTGTTGTTTTAGATAAAATCAAACCTTATAAAGCTATAAACTTATCCACCAATGACTGGGAGGACTCCCCAAAATGAAAATTGTGTGGCCAATATAAGAGACAGGAGATAACCCATCAAGTCAATATATCTCACCAGAGAAAAAAGGAAATTAAATGTTACAGGATGGGAATGTAATTTACTAGCTGAATGAACACTTGATCAGCTTATTTCATCCTTGAGAAGAAAATAGAGTGGAGGCAACCCTGGGGTTAAATTGTTATGCAGTTGAAATTCCATCACCTATGAAAACTGTAATTGGGATTCCATTTTTAGATTTGGCCAGCCCAGAAACAGATATGTGTCCCACCGAGGACCACATACTGCTTCTTCTGAAGAAAGCTCTTTAGAGGGAATTAGGGTTTCAACCAGTTTCAACTCCAAAGAAGAGACTAGAATAAATTGAGTATAATTGTTTAAAATTCCCGTTGGATTGTGACTAAATGTGTGGTTCACATTTTAATGCCTTGAAAAAGAAGATGGTGTGATTCTTCTTTGCTTTTCCCTTTAAAATAAAGAATCCAATAACAGAAGTTTTTTTTTCAGTTGAGATCCAATAGCTCGGCCAGAAATATCTCAGCTGCAAGACATTTCTTCAGTGAGCAAAGCTATAGTTCAGATGGCGAGGTCAAGGTGGAGACCAAATACCATTTTGTGCATAATTCCCACCACCCATTAAAAGAAGAGAATTGAATGTTTCTTATTACGTAGGCTGTCTGCATGCACAATACTTTCATGCACTCCTCAGGCACATTGTGGCAAGACTCTAAATTCATGTTATCCTGCATAACATGGATCAGGTAGAGTTTCTTTTGAAAAGAAACCTAGCCCAATGTAATTCTAGCTAGGGAAGCTGATGCCCAGAAATCTACAGAGTGCTTTGACCCAGACCACTGTTCAACTAAATAAGTCTCATCCTCTTTAATAGGAGTCAAGAAACAAACAGGGAAACACTTGTCAATGAGAGGGGTTCTTCCATCAGGAAGCTAATTCCACATGGATTTCAAGTAAACTTGAGATAGGTAAAAAGAATGTTTGTGCCAGTATTGGTTTTTACATCTTATTCCTATCCAATATTTCTTCAAACACAGTTCTCCCCCCACCACCTTTGCCTCAATTTCTCTTTCTGACCTAGAAAGACTAACTCCCTTCAAAGGAAAGGAAAACAGCATTCATCAGCCCCTAGCAGCTTTGAACCCCCTTCAGTGATCTGTAGAACAAGTCCTCTTGTCTTCAAGAAGGACAACACTCTGTGTTTCTTGTCCCTTTGTCTCCTTCCCTTTGTTAACAGTAAAATCACCTGCACAGTGGTGAAGCAACCCAAGCCAGTCTTCCTGCAGGCCAGATCACCGTGGGTGTCACCACATTGAAGGGTGCATTTCACAGATAGAAACACGAAGGCTCAGAGAGGTCACAGGCTTCCATCATACTTCAGTGGAGCAGGAATTTAACCCAAGCTCACTGGGATCCCCCATGGCCCTCAGCCTTAAGAGAAAAAGGATCTCCCAGCATATCCCACAGGAAACATCAAAGCCTGCTGACACTGTGGCTGGATGCTGCCCTCCTCTGTGAATGCTTACCCCAGAGCCAAGAAACTCAAAAAGACACAAATCATGGGGAACCACAGGGTATATTTAGAAAGCTCCTCACTTTGCAAGGGGCACATACAACATAGGCACCTTCCATCCTTCCTGGGTTGCTTTTCCCAGCTCTTCTCACCGTTCACCCTGGGCAGCCCAAACACAGAAGTGGGCAGTGGTAGAGAAATGGGAATTGTGGCAATTCAGGGATAGAGGCTGGTTATATATATTCTTCTAATTTCTTCAGAAAGGGCTGAGATGCCTTCTTTCTGGCCGAACAAGCCAGTCCTCCAAGCATCAAGGATGGACACATGAAAATCCTGTGGGTGGCTGAGCATGTAAAGCCCATCTAAGCACATAAGGACAGGGAACTTGAAAGCATGCTTCTTTTTCATACTTTATTGCTATAATCATTATGACAGCTTCTCTATAGGAAATGCTGGCACCGAAGGCTGAGGATGCCAGGCTCAAAGTTCAAGCCCCAATCCTGGCTCTCTGATGAGATGGTGTCACCCAGTTTCTGTGTCCAAACCCTGTAATTCGTAGCTTGCTACTATACAGTCCTGAGAAAATAAACCAAATAGCTAGCCCTCAATATGCCTATCTATAAACTGGAACTCTTTTAAAAAAGCAAGTGACTTTGAAAACCTGGGAAGAAAAATTTCTATATTAAAAAAGATATTATTTTATGATAAATACCTTTAGCAGGTATGATTGCAAGATACAACAAAAATAATTTCTCCACTGGTTCCTTCCACACAAACAGGTGGCTCCACTTACAAGCAAAATCTTTATTTCAAAAATCTCTTTTGTCAGTTTTAGAAAGCCAAATACAGGAAACAAAAACAAAACAACTAGCCAGAGACCCTTTTGTAGATAGAAACCCCTAAATTATTTGGTAGCCTGAGATAATTTTCTTAAGATTTAAGTGTGTTAGAAATGTTCTGAAAAAGTCCTCCTTTGTTGCTCACTGCCTTTTGGCCAGTTTATTCCTCTAAGAATTGACTTCATTTTAGGATGATTTCTGCATATTGCCTCTCTACCTCAGTTCCCCAAAGCTGACCTGGAGTTTCTTGAGACAAATCTCTGAAAATACTCCTCCCATTTCACTTTCTCTTCCACCTCCTGCCCAATCTGGGCTGCAAGTGCTAATGAGTAATCCAATAAAATAATTTCACCTTAATAACGTTCATGCTGGAAACTCAGGGCTTGAGTAGGTGAGGCGTGTCTACATAACACTGCAGACTAGACACAGACTTGCTCATCCTTACAAAGCGTTCTTCAGATGCTTTTTTTTATTCAAAGGCAGCCACATTTAACAGGCGATGTCAGACTCTCACCAGTGACATTTTTATGACTACAAAAATGGCAGTTTTATGTCCAGGGTCCCGCCATCAGTGTGCCTGAACTTGGGAGCAGTTAACAGCTCTTGTGTCCCACTCTAAACCCCCAACCCTTGCAAACCAGAAGCCAGATTGCACCTTTGTACCCGGAAGCAGTCTGTGGTTTAAATTAACAAATGTGCTGACCCCCCATCCCAGCCCCACACCAGAAACAGTGTTTACGCATTTACCATGTGCCAGATTCCCTCAGGTTTGGTGTGGAGCAGTGGGAAGGGGCACATGCAGAATACCTGGTTTTCTAACTGGAGAAAACACCAATGGCCCCGGAGCCCCCTCCTCCTACCCCCGTTTTCCTTGGGGTGACATAATCTCAGAGAAAGCACAGAGAAGCCCAGCCACTGGGCACTGACAAAATACAGATTTATGGACAATATCCTGGGGAGAGGGGGAAGAGGTTTTGTTCTGGTTCATTATTATAAAAATATAAAATAAAGGCTGTGGCCCCTCTGTCCTCTTCCTAGGTTCGAGACCCCCCTATTAGGCCAGAAACTCCGAGGGGGTGGAGGCTAGAGTCCAAGCTGCCGAAGTGTGGACAGAGACCGGTCTTGGGTTCTCTTGAAAGGGGATGGGGGTCAGAGAAGAAGTAGGAATGAGGAGAAACAGAATCATTGACTGTAAAAGGCACCAAAGAGAGAAGGTGGTGGATGGGCTGGACCACAGGAAAAGGAGCACAGTAGGCAGCAGAAAGGGGAGGAGAGGGGAAAGCAGGGGAGGTAGAGGGGAGACAAAGGGAAGAAAGGGGAAACAAGGAAGGAAATGAAGGTAGCATAAGAAGGAGGGAGGAAGGAAAGAAAGAAGGGATGTAAGGGATAGCGGGAAAGAGGGAAGTAGGAAAAAGAAACAGGGAGGGAAGGAGGGTACAGAACAATTCTGGGAGAAGTTGGAAAAGGCAAGGCGAGGAAGGCCACGTCGGAGCAAAGATAGCTAAAGCCAAAGCTCAGGAAAGCCTGAAATCCTGAACCACAACTGAAGAGTGGCCCTCCGGGACAGAGCGAGGCCTGGGGCGGACCCGGTGTGTCCTAGCGGGCCGGCTCCCGGCATCTCCTCTGCGTGTCCTCGAGTCTTGCGGCGCCGCCTGGGCTACAGGGCCGAGCTGTGCGCCTTGGTCCGTCATCCGTTCCGCTGCCTCCTCCCGACTCCGGGTCTGGCTCGGTACCGGGACGCGCTACCCCTAGGAAGTCGAGGCCGGGATGGGCAGTCCGTGTAAGCTACTGAGGCCATCGGGGGCCTTGTCGCTGGGGCTGTGCGGCTTCCGGTCGGCCACTGCGAAAGGAAGCATAGGGACGTCGGGTCACTGCCTGGGCCGGCGCAGAACCTGAGACCCGGGAGCCCAGGACTCCCACAAACCAGGGTGACAGGTCAAGGATCTGGGAGTGAACGCTGCGGTGCGCGCTCCACTCAGGGGTTTGGAAGAAGGAGGCAGAGATCCGTGTTTTCCAGGAGCTCCACGCGTCCGCCGGCGCCCACCCTTCCCCTCTCCTAAGGAGTCACTCGCCAGGGTAACCTAAGCAAGTGGCTCTTCTCCCAAGGCCATTTTACAGACACTCCCAGATTGCTAACCCGGTGCAATTTCCTTCGCCTGGAGCCCACGTAATAAAGAAGATGATGAGTGCAGGGAGGTGCTGCCGACCCGTGCACCCCTGGGCCGGAGAGGTTCTCAGATCCGAGACCTCTGGGGAAGGGAGCAGGGAACTGAGTTCCACACACTCCTCTCCAAACCATAGCTGCACAAACAAGCCCGAGGAGCTGCCAGCGCGTCAGGTTCGCTGTCCCTCAAAGCGGCTCCGGGCGCTCGCGGTGTACAGTGAGTAACAGAGTGGGGATCGGGACCAAAGACGTTCCTTGTGGAGGGCGGGGGGCGGCCTGGATTCCTCCGACAAAGAAGGCAGCGGCGTTTTATGTGAGCGGCGGACTTCGTTATGCCTCCGCGGCCGGGAATCCAGATTCCCTCACCACTGTGGGCACAGCACGTCCTGGGACCAAGGGGGCTCCGGATTAAGTGACAGTGGCTTTGCCAGATCAGGCGGCATTCTGTGCGTTGCTATATTATTTAGGGTTTTGGGAAGGGGCCCAGATTTGCTACTGGAAGCCAGAAAAGTGACGCCAGGATTACCCAAACTCTTATTTTTCCTTCCCCAGTCCCCCGCCGCTTAGCTTCTCCAGCACTAGGAGACACAAGCTCGTTTATACCTAAAGGCCCTGTTTTCAGATTTCTCCCACCACCACTACTCCCAAACAAGTCTTTCTTTAAAGGGGGAGCTTGCAGCGCCTCATTTGGGAGTGAGGGGGAACGCTGGAATTTTTTTCCCTGCAGCTGCCCCCGCCCCAGCTCCACGCGCAACTTGCTGGGGCTGCGCAAAGCTGGGCCATACACTTCTGAGCGAGGGACGCTCATACACAAATGCACATACACACACGCACACGCATGTACTCATATCTGATTTTTCAGAGGGTCAGAAGGGGTCTAAAGACCTTTCCAGAACAGAGTGACCCCTTCACTATCCCCCTTCCACAGCCTCTCTCGGCTCTTTTCTAAACACAGTTGTGGCCACTGTTCCTGGGACAGTGGCCAACGAAGTTTTCCTTCCCACCTTGTACACACACTTCAAGATGAGGACCTGGTTAGAAAACATCTGAAGAGAAGGAGGTTTCTCAGCCAAGGGCCAGTTGCCTTAGAAACAAGGGAGAAAAAGCGTGAAAAATAAACACCCGGGAGCCCAGAGAAGATTCCACCCCTTCTGCAGGGCAAATCCTGCTGCTGCGTTTAGCTCTGTCCAAGCCAGTCCCTCTCCATAGGGTCCCTTCTCCCCTCCTTTCCCATCCACAGGACCGCAACGTGAGTGGGTCTGTGGTGGGTTTCTGGAAGGTTTGATCCCCAGAGCATTAGGTGCTTTGCGGGCTCATTTAACCTTAGCGGGCAAGAACTTTAATCTTAAGGAGGCAAGCGTTTTTTTAAATATTGGAACTGCTAATGTAGGACCACTGGGACAACGGGAGTGGGGCGCACGAAAGCAGGGGTCTGTGACCGGATCTCTCCCAGGGCTGGATCAAATGAGACCAGGGTAGGTGGTTGCCTGGCTCTCAGGCAAATGCCTGCGCCCTAGTGCCTCCTGGCAAAGTTTGCTTTCAGGATTGATCTTTCAAGAACAAATCGATCAGAGATAACTGGAATGAAGCTATGAGTTATCTGTAACAAATATAAACAACACTTTTTTTTTTTTAGCGAATGCAGTGTCTTATAGATTTGATTTACAAATCTTTAGTCTTTCCAAAGCCCCGCTGGGACGGATTTTAGAGCCATGAGATTTGAAGGTTTCTGAAAACACACCGTAAATACCAGTTGTCTTGAGGGAACATCTGGTGGGGTCTGTCACCTGTGTGTGGGAGTGGGGGGGGGGCGGGGGGAAGAGATGATCCTGCGCTGGCTGTGAAAAGACATTTCGATGGGTGTGGAGATTCCCAGAATATCTGCACCCCTCCACATGTAGATAAAGTGGAACCTTTCTATTCTCTCAGTTCCCAAGAATTAAATTTCCTTCAACGCATGGGAAATGTAAATTATACCTTCTTGCCTACAAAACAGGGAATCCAGACTCATTACCCTTTACCAAGATAAAATTTATAAATTGTGATGTATAATTTGGCATTTGACTAGGCTTCCCTTAGTGTAAACACTAACTTTCATTTGCACCTGGTTTGGAGGATATATAAACTAGATGACTGAAAATACTTGTTTTTATTGAGCATTCATGATATTAAATTTCTTTTGGTAGAGACTTTTTTTCCTACTGAAAAAAATAATTCAATAATTGTTATTCTTACTATTCTCTGAACTGAACAACAATTAATTATAGTAATTGTCTTATTGGATAAGCTTCTTTGAATATAATGTTAAACCACTGAGTAGAAAAAAGGCAGTGATTTGGATTAGTTTGCTTTGTAATTTTTCAAAGACCAGTTGGGAGTGTGAAATGTCTTTGATGTCAGGTTCTCTGCTGGTGAGAAGAATAAAAACTCTTAACCCAAATGGGTATGTAGTTCTCTTACTTTTATGTTCCTTGTTCAAACACAAACACTTGTGTGCCAGACTGAGAAATCATTTTTAATGATGGGCCTCATTTATTCAATGATCTTTTACCTGTATCTTTAAAGAAGTGTGAGGATCAGGAAATTAAGTCATTAATTTAAGAACTAATGTAGCTAATTATTACTACAGACTTTGAATGTGGAATGTTTCATAATAGGGAGTGAACATAATGGTTAAAGGGATATGAATGCAAGTGTCATTCAATGGCTCTGAATTTCTGAAAGAAAATTGTCTTCTGAAGAAAATCAACCACCAATGACTCCCCCCACCCAACTAACGAGAATTAGTTTAGAATTCAGAACTGTGTGTTTTACCTTTGGATTGTTGCCTACAGGGCATAATTTGATTCTAATGTAGAGCTTGAAATGCCCCAGAACAAAGTGACTCTGTTAACAAAGGACTGCATTGCTCTGCAGACAGCGAGTCCTTTTTAAAGTCTTCCTCCTCCTTGGGATCAGCTCAAGGGAAATCTTTTATAAATTTGTGGATACATTTTTTCTAATTCAAATGAACCTGCTAGTTAAACGATTTGTATAATGTGCTAAATTCCATTTCTAATTCAATGGGTAATTTCAGTTGTCCAGAAAAAAAGGTAGATTTGAGGCCAAGGACAAGACCTTGAGCAAAGCATTCACCCTGAGACCACTTATCGATCCTTCAGTGTTAAGTTTAAAGGAAACCTAATTCTCAATTTAAAAAATATCTTTTACTTTGATTTTCCTATAAATGAGCAAATGATGTTATCCTATTATTTAAATTAAGTTTAAAGCTTAATGGAGTTCTTATTCTCAATTTTTGTAATTTATATCCCTTGGTGTTTATGTTCTAGGAAAGGTGAAAATAGAAAATATTTTTGTTCCTCCACTTGACTTATTGATGGTATCTTAATTCTATCTCTCTCTCTCTGTCTCTCTTTATCGCCTCTTTTCTCCCTCCCTCCCTCCCTCTTCCCCACCCCACCCCCTCAGAGGTCCTGTTGTCTTGTCTCCTTGGAAATAAAAGCTTTTCGCCTGTCCCCTGCCCAAAGCCATCTGCCCCCTACTTCTGCCTTGGCAGGTATAAAGTGGATCAACTGGTAAAGACCCTTTTGTAATCTGAACACCCCTTTGCCCCAGGCTGCCCATCCCCACCCCTCCAGGTTTGTGCCCTGTCTCCACTGCTGGGTCTGAGACCCCCTGAGGTGACTCCTCCTTTTCCCAGTGTAGTTGAAGTTACAAATTTTGGTCATCAGACCTAAATGCAGGAAGGGTCAAAATTAGCAAATTCATTCATTCCTTTCACCTATGAGGAAAATGAGGACTCAAGGTCAGGTGAGCATTTCCCAAGTTACAGGCAAAACCAGAACCTGAAAGTCAGTGTGAGAAAATGCCCTCACGCTGTTGACCATCAGCTAAATACCTGAAATCTGTTACTTTGGCTTATCAGGGAATCAGTTTACGAAGCTGGAAGGGAAGACGCTGTTGTTGGAGGAGGGAGAACTCCCAGCCACATTTCCCACAGAAAGAAAGACCCCCTAAACCACACAGAGTTCAAAATAATCTAGACTTAGGGACACAAGATTGAATTCCTCTCTCTTTCCCCAAAGAATGTGTTTTTAAAAATGAATCCAAAGGGAGACCAGGATGTGGTTAAAAAAAAAGAGGGATCTGGAAGAAACATAGACAGTGCCTGGAAGGATCCAGATGCGGGTTCCGGTGCCAGGGCAGGTCCACTACAGAAGGCAAAGCTCCTCAGGCCACAGAAAGGCAAGCCTGGACGGCGCTTCTACACACTTCTACGGATGGAGAAATGAGACTCAGAAAGGAGCAATAACATGGCCAAGGGCACATGAGCCAGACCTTCTTTTTTCTCTCTCAGTATAAGTCAAAGGGGACAGTCCTGGGGCTTCCTTCAACCTCTGCCTGCTTTTCTAGGGACAGGCCATACGCCTGTTAGAAATTAAACTGCTCCAAGAAGCTACAGGCTTAACTTTTAACCCAGAGGAAGAAAAGATTTATGCCAGGTACCATATCTCTTGCACTACTTTTTCCCACACACCCCTCCCATGCACCCTTCCTAACCCTGACTGCATTCAACCGACCCCCCCACCGGCGACCCTCACCTTCTCTGCTGGGATGCTTGAAGGTCATCGCTGAGGCGAGCTCCCCACTGTGCACGGTGATGCCGGCCCCGGGGGGCGCCAGCGGGGGAGCCTGCGCCGGTGGCCACGGCGGGCCCGGGGCGAGGTAGCCGCTGGCCGGCGCGCTGTACACGCCCTGCTGGTTAGAGGCCGGGTAGGCGCAGGCCGGGAGGAAGCCGCCCACTGCGGAGAGGCCAGAGGTCGACTGTGCAGATCGAGAGGGATAGACCGTCAGCAGCAGGCAATCTTTCCGTGTTCTCCAGTACATATAGTTATGAGGCGCGGAATCCTCCTTTCCCCCTGCTGTCCCCTCAATTATCCATACACAATGCTTGGCCTTTAATTTTCCTAGTAAGGACTCTGGCAAAGTGACTTCCACTCAAGTTGTTATAAATAACAACAATAAGAGATGAGAGGGATCATGGTATTCAAGCCGGGATTTTTAAAAAGGGAGTCTTCGACCAGCTATTTTACTTACGCGTTCCAGCTTTTGTAGGAAAGTATCTTGGCGAAAGGCAACTAAATCCCCTCGAAAGCCAGCCTCCCCCAAATTAGTGAGCTTGAGAAAAGTTGAGAAAAATGACCCGCAGACGCTCGATGGCGGGACTGCCAGACACCCCCACATTCGACACTCTTTCCCTGGTATGGAGGAGTTTTCTTTTTCTCTTTTTCCCCCACCACACCACATCCCCCTCCCAACCCTTCCGCTCCCCCAGGTAAGGACACTGCCTACCCTGCCGCATGGTTACCTGAGTATATTTAATGTCCGCCTCCAAGGCGGGTTTCTCAAGCCCATTCACCGCTGGAGTGGCGGGGAAAGCGGTGCGGTTCACACTGGCCCAGTCTTCCATCTTGGGGGAGTAGGCGACGCCTTCGCTCCCGGCCAAGGCCCCTGTGGGGACACAGGATGGATTAGTAGGGGCATAGGAATCTGCGCTGGTCACACGCGCGGCCCTCCCGCCCAGACTTTTACACACGTGCCTACAAGCGCTTAACTAGTATTTGAGGGCGCGGCCGGGAGTCCTCAAAACACGTGTGGTAGCCAAACACTCGGAGGGCGACCAGAATCGGAGGGGCGGCGAGGCACTGGGTTTCGCTTTTACTCCATGCAGGGCAGAGGTTGCTCCTCGCTCCTCCCAGCCTGCGACCCGCTTCCGGCAAAACAGGAGGTCTCCCGCAGGGAGGCAGCCTGGGAGACAGTGGTTGGGCGCAATTGGCTAGTGCGCCTTTCCGCTGTCCAGAGGCGGTACCCAGAAAGGTTCAAGTTCAAATCCAAACCAAACCCGTGCGAATTATATGCTTTCTCAAAGTCTCAGTAAGGGGCTGGAGGGCTGGGAGACGGTTCTACTCAGAACTGCCTCGGAAGATATCCGGATCTCCCAAAAGAGGCGTCAACCCAGCGACCCGCGCACATCCCAGGCACATGTCTGCTCCTCCCGCACGTGTGTGCGCAGGGAACCGAGAGAAAGCTCCATATCTGAGTGAAGATCTGGTGAGGTCATCTCCCAGCCAGCGGCACACAGGTCGCTCCAGGGAAAGCTTCGGCCCCAGCCGATCGTCCAAACTGGGTTTGAGCCACCAGGAGAAACAGCGTGTGCGCGGCTTCGGCGGCGAGACACTGCCACTGGAGCTAAGCTTTCAGTTTCTTTCCGCCTCCCCACCTTGGGCTACGGTGAATTTTGCTCTTACCCTCCTCTTGAGTCTGCTCACATAAGAGCATGTCATGCCCTGCCTTGGCTACAGGGACTTGGTTCGGCCCAAACACTTTCTTTCTAGCCAGCACGGTGGTCGTCCCAATCCTTCCTCCCTTCTCCACACCCTCCCTCCCCTACTGAGAGAGATAACCAACAGCTTGCTGAGTTCTAATTACTGGCAAAGGGCAAATCCTTCGTGAGCTTTCATCCCAGGATGGCTGCAGCTCTGAGGGGCTGTCACTGGAGAGCCCAACCCCAAAACCTGTAAAGCCAAGGGGCCTGCCGGATATCTAGGACACTAGACAAGACTGGTCACGCGGCCCCTATACCTTTAACTCAAAAAAGCCTTTGGGCCTGGGAGGGACAGAACTCTTTGGGAAATGGTGAGGGATCCCTTTTGGGGGTCTTTTGACCCTTAAGAAAGGATTGCAGAATTGACTTTGCGGTTTGTTTGGCTTAGATCTGATGATAGAGGTTTGTATACCTTTTGAAAGAATGAAAAGGCACAATTTCAGGCCTCCGAATGTGTGGTCAGAGATTGCTCTTCCATTTCTGAAATATTTTCCACATTTGTCATAAAACGTTCAAGATGTCCGAGGACTCCCACAGAAGCATGAGACCCTCAGCCTCCCTGGCCAGCCCCAGCCCTTCCCTGAGCCAAAGCCAGTCCAAGGAGAACGGGAAGTGTGACCCCTCACCCTCATGCCAACCCCCCAATCTCCAATTTTGCCCCTTCCAAGGAGGCTACAGAACGGCTCTACGACTGACCTGTTTGCTCCATAAACGTCCGGATGCCCAGAATGTTGCTAACCGAGTGCGCTGAGGGCCATGAACGGGGGATACTGACGTGGCCTGCTGTACCCGGGACCCCGTGGTGGCCGCCCATCTTGGCCCCCGTGGGCGACACGGGGCTGGGGTAGGGGTACTGGTAGATGTGGTTGTAGGGCAGCGCCGGCTGTGGTGGCGGCTGCTTGCTCGCCTCGTATGGCCCGGGCTGCGTCAGGCTGCCAATTTTATTGCGCAGGATGCGGCTGATGGAGCTCACGGAGGGCACGTTGTACTTGTCGCAGACGCCGTCGGCCAGCAGCCGGTCGCGGATCTCCCAGGCGAAGATGCCAGGGTCGCCCTGCTTGTAGTCCCGGATGTGCTTGACCACGTTCGGGGTGGTGACACGAGGTTTGCTGCCTCCGATGGCTCCGGGCAGGATAGAGCCTGTCTCGTTGTAGCGCGCCAGGATCTTGCTCACGCACCCGTGGGATACGCGCAGCTGCCGGCTGATGTCACAGGGTCGGATGCCCAGCTGCGCCAGTTCCACGATGCGCAGGCGGATGGCGTTGGGCAAGGGGCGGCCGTTGACGAATACGCCGCCCAGTTGGTTCACCTCGCCATATGTCTGCTCTGTGGACGCGTCCGAGCACAGTGAGCAGGCAGGGGAGAAAACACCGACGTGTTAGCCAAGAGTGGCCGCACAGGGCTAAAGGCGGCACCCAGGCGCGCCTCGGAAATTGACCCGCGGGTTCCAGAATCTGCGGGCAAACAGCCCAGGTCTGGCTTTGGGAGTGGGTACCGGCGTAGGGACGGAGGAGGAGGGCGCCACGCGCTACAGCCCTCCGTGCCCTTTTGAGGCGTCTACTTGAGCCATCCCATCCCCTGACGCGCGTAACTGCCCACACCCTCACCCCTCAGTGAAGGCTGGGGACGTGAGCAGAACGCGGCTCGTCCGGAACCCAGGACCAGGTCTCTCAGGGAAAGCAGGCGGGAGGAAAGGGAGGCGCCGAGGCGCAACACACCTTGTCAGCCCGCCCGCGCCCTGCTTGCCGCCCGTCCCTTACCCATAGCGCGCGGGCCAGCCAGCTGCCTGGCGCCGGGGCGGCCGGGGCTGGGCCCGGCGCAGTCCGGGAGAGCTCGGGCGCCGCAGCGGCGGGAGAGGCATAGAGGGAGGACGCCGGCGAGCGGAGAGCCGCGGCGGCCCTGCGGCGGGCTGGAAACGCGCTGTGCGCCGCCGCCTAGCGCGCTACGGCCGGCCTCCGTGCCCGCTGCCGCCGCCGCTGCCGGTTCCCAGGACTCTCTCCACGCCCGCGACCTAATGCCCAGGGTGAACTTCATCCGATTAAGAGAAATTCGTCTGACCGGGAGGCTGCAGCGCGCGGGGATCAATTTGACGTGTCCTCCACGTCAATCTCGGCAGTCATGCCGGAGACGCGCGAGTTGGCAGCTCATTGGTTCCCGTCACTGCACCCCGGTGCCCCCCTCCCCGCCATGAAACTCTACCCCCTCCTCCTATCCTTCTCCGTCGTCCCTCCTCCGGAACCCATCCCCTCTACACACACACACACACACACACACACACACACACACACACAAACACAGGAGTCCTACCGTAACCCCAGCTGGGCCTAGGACTTACCACTGGCTCTGCATCTTTTGAAGTCCCTTACACCTCCAGTTTTGATAAAGATAGGGTAGTCATTTCAAACTGATAAATATTTATTACTATCAGTACTATTACTAGTTTTGGTTTTAGTGGTATTACTACGTCCACCGCCATTATTGCTAAGATATTAGAGGATTAAAGTTGATCATGGCCAGATGGTCAGTGTGTGGCTGCCTTTGCCGCTCCTTTTTCTGGGCAGGGGTCACGGGAAAAGTGGTGCCAGTGCCCCCATTTTCGGGCGTGCGAGCGTCGCGGTGAGCATTCAGCGAGATTGAGGGCGACTGTCCCAAGGAATTTGTCCTGTACTATTTCTGGCCGATCCCCCAATCCTGCTCTCAGGAAATCTTTACAATGTTCAATAGCCACCCCTCCCCCATGGTGTGATTTCAATGATGTGAGAGGGGCACATTCTAGACTCTGTCTCCCTGCGGATAGAGTCATCCACCTGAACTCCTTCCTCTCTGAAGAGACACAGGACACAGGTTGGAAAGGGGTTCCGACCTGCTGCCCCAAGGGCAGGGAGCCTGGGCTCCCCGGACACCAAGCGTCCTGGCTGCCTACAGTAGGTCAAACTGGTAGCTCCCACTCTAGGCCTGAAGGACAGTTCCTTTCATCCAGACCGGGAACCCCAAATCCTTCCACACCTGGACAGCCTGACCTCACCTTTCACCTAGTCCCCGAGGCTTATAGGGGGTAGTTGTTAAATCACTGAATGGTCCTTTCCCTTCCATGTAAGCGGGAGTTTGCTTAGCCCTAAACTCTTTGGCCTTTTTTTCTCTATTTCTGTCTTTCATCAACGCCTGGTTCTGGACTTCTCAGCCAGTGTCGCTAACTGTGGCAGTCCAGAGGGAGCCACGCGGTGGGATCCATGAGAAAGAGCAGGTAGAGGGAGAAAGCCCCTGGTTTTGCCCTGAACTGACACGAGGAGGCTGGGACCTAGGAGTTCTGACCTTGGGGCCAGTAAGCGCCAAAGGCATTGGGCTGAACATAAAGGAGCAAAAAGGGGGGCCTAGGTGGGAGCCTAGGAAGAGCCACGGTTCCTGGGATTCCCGTGTGCTCCCAGCTCTCCTCAGGAGGCGGGAAGAGTTCCCTGCTACCCTCCACCACGACAGTCTAACGCTCAGGAGCTACCTGAGAGCTGCGCGCTGCCCCAGCGCTGTGATGCTGCTGTAGGCACAGATGGACCCCATCAGCGAAGCCTGGGGAGCAGCGGCGATGGAGTCCCTGATTCCTTTCCCTCCGCTGCGGGATCAGAAAGTACAGCTGGCTCCGAATCAAACTGTCCAAATGTGTCAATTAGGAGGGTCTGAGCCATAAATCCTGGGCTCTCTGGAGGGAGGGCAGGGGCCAGGCAAGGCTGGGGCCCGGGCCACAAACAAAAATTATCCTTGGAAAGAAAACCCAAGTTCAACCGAGGTGAGGACTTTCTCCTTCCGCATCACCGAGAGCACAGTGCAGCCTCAGGGAGGCCAGGACGAAGACAGTCTGTGCAGTGACGCGGGGTGGGGTATTGTTGAGAAGTCTAGGCCAGACCACGACAGCGCAGGGGCGTGGTAAGGACCGAGTAAGGGGGTAGTTTGGATTAAGGTGAGCAAACCGTAACCAGGAGTTATTCAGAGGTGGAGCGGAGGACTGAACATGCACCGGCTGTGGGACGCTTTGAGGCAGCGCGCAGTGCGATGCTCCCTGCTCAGTTCTGTACAAGTGATTTAAACTCTGTCTGCCCCTTATCTAGACTTTCGTTGCCTGAACTTCAAACCGTGACCCAGAGACCAAAAGGACTGATTCCTAGACCTGGGAACCTCAATATCCATAACCCGGTGCAACCCCGAGATAAGGTGTACCTAAAGCCATTTCTTTCCCCTGTAGGCGATGAGTCGACAGGCACGCTCAGAGAAGAGACAATTAAGGCCGGTGGTGAGAGCTGGTTCGCCCCAAACGTCCTGTCAGGGGAACATCACTCCACTTCTGCAAGGAGGTGTAAGGAGGTGCAGTCTAGAACTTCATCATCCCCCCATTCCCCAGGGCCAAGTCTGTCTGGGGCTGGAGTAGACCGTTGAAGGACTTTGCCCCGGGGCTTTCTGGGGTATCAGAGCCCGCCGGCCCTCACTTCACATCCTACCTTCCTCCCTCTACCCGACCTCCGGCAGCCAGCTGCTAGTGCCCCGGCCACAACAGCGCTTGCCTGCAGCCTGCTCACAGCCAGGCTCCGGAAAAGCTTACAGTTTGTCGCCCCCTGTCGGTCGCGTTCCGCGGGTTCCAGCGGCCGGTGGGGTTAGGGGCGAAATGGCCCAAAGGTGGGATTACAGAAGAAAGGAAACGTCTCTTCCACCTCCACGGGATGCAGCTTTGCCCGCTCCGTAACCAGGAAGGGCGACGTGGCTGGTTCTGAGCACGCAGAGGTAAAAACTTCGCAGATTCCATGCTGTGCTTGGCTGACTGTGACTCCGTTGTTCGGAGCACCCTGGGCGCAGCGTAGAACACAGTGAAAAACGGCTCCCGAGGGTGCGGGGGCAGCCGAGCAAAGGGCGCGCGCGGGGATCCGGGACGTGATGCGTCCAACTGTGGCTGAACGCCCAGGGGGGCGAAGGACAGATTCGAGGGTCCCCGAGTGGCCTCGGAAACTGACCCAAGTTTCCTAAGGCAGAGAAAGGATCGAGAGGCAAGGTCCGTGCCAAAAGCATGGGGCAAAGCGGATGAAGGAAGGGGTGCCTGCCTTCCTGGGGGCTAGGGCTATCCGCATCCGAAAGGATTGTGGGTGAATACTCCCTGGAGGTTTGCTTCCTGTGCCCGGCACCGGAATGTTAAGGCTGCGAGAGTTTCCGCGACAAGGTCTTCCTTAGAGCGACAGTCGCCCACACTTCACCTCTCCCGCGTCTCTTTGAATTTTGGTGGGACTGTTTCGGGGGAGTTACTTGGATACAAACGAAACGTGCTCGTCACAATAGGCCAGGGTGTTTCGGGGGCCCGTGCATTTTGAGGTCTTCAGGAGAAACCTAAACAAGTAAATGGAAGTCCCTCTCAGATCCCGCAGGGAGGATCAACCTGCGGCTGGGCGCTTCTCGGTTCAGCGGTCCGGAAGAAGCCGAGGGCAGGAAACACAGGCAGCGTTTCCTGAAGGCCCTGAGCTGAGCGTGGGCCCCACTAACGACCAACGCCGGTACCCACCATCCTCCCGCCGGGTTAGCAGGGTCAGGATCCTGTGTCCTCCTAGACAGGAGCGCCTCAGGCCTGCGGGGCCCGCATGGTTCCAGCGTGTGTCCTGGCTCACCTCAGGTCCCGCGCTTTTGCTACGATTTTAAGTCGTGTGGTTGGAAACTCAAACAAATAGAGCCTCTTAGTTTTCTTTTTAACTTCACTTTTTTTAAAAAATAAAGTAGGGCAGGCTACAAACGCACTTTGTATGCACCAGGTTATATTGTGCCCCTCCACACACAGTTTTGCAAACGAGATCCGGTGCGCCACAATACAAAGAGGAATGAGTAAGAAGGGGCTAGCTGCAAGCAGACTAATAATGGGAGGAAGAGCAGGCCCAGATCAGAAAATTGCAAACCCTCAGGGAATGCGCCAACAGCTAACTAGCTCGCGGGAAACCGGAATGTGAGACAAAGCAACGAAACTCCACCCGGAGGGACCGCGGGGTGGCGGGGGAGTGAGGAGGAGGGAAGAGGACTGAAGGCTGAACTGGCCCCTTTGCAGGCAGCGGGTGAGCTCCGGGAAGGTGCTCCCTCCCCACCAAGAGGCCTCACTGGGAAGGGGGGTGCGGGCGTTGAGCCCTGCACCTGCCCCTCCAAATTGGGGAACACACACTCCCCAGGCCCCAAATGGAAGGTGCTGTTAATGGTGCCACTTAGCATTAGAACAGAGCCCCAAGAACATGAAATACCGTCCTCGGCATCTCAGCCTGCTTGTGACCATGGTGAGCTTAACGTTCTTTGCCTAGACTTGACTTTTATTTGCTAACCTGTATAGGTTTATTGTTGAAAGCGGCCTCGTTGGCAGTGATGCGGTGGAGGGCCATTTCCGCCTATACTGGCTGCTAACGGCGGAGAATTTCCTTGGAAATGCAACCGAAGAGAAGCAAAGAAAAAAATTTCATTTTCCTAAAATGAAATGGATAAGCAAGAATAGATGAATATTTTCCGCGTGAATGACAGAACAGTTCCCCAAATTCGTTCAGAGGTGTAGGAGAAAAAAATTAGAAAACGGATTTATGGAAAAACCCCCACTAGAAATAAACAGGGAATTGAGCGTTGCAAACGAAGACCTAAGATCTTTCTACCCTGCAATGCAGGGATCTGACTACTACATTTATAATATTCCTTTTGGAGTAGAAACATTTTAAATGTCGCTTTTTGGGTGATAAAAATTAACTACAGGAAGCTAGTGTCATTTGTACCAATGGTTTCTTTGAGTCTTGTGAAGAAACAGTGTCCTTGTCATTCCTGCGTGTATATTCTCATGGGTGCAAAATTCAGGGTTCCCTTTATTGCTCTTATGTCTCCTCTCCTGTCCCTGGCAATGGGCATGACAAATAAATCTTAATTTCCCCTTATATAAAATGACCTATACTGTCTAATTAGATCTATTTCATCTCATTCCGTCTACATGAAAGCCAGCAAAGGGCTTTGGGCACTGGTCAAAATTCCACTTTTGCAGTGAGCTCTCAAAA